TAAAGAGGAAGTTAGATAAGCTACCCCTATACTAACTAAGGGTTAACTATAATATTATTCTAGAAGTAGAAGCCTAACTAAGGTATTATCCTCTCTATAAGCTCTCTTTAGATAAACTAAGGGCTATAAAGTAGTATATTATTAAGAACCTAAATAAGGGATTTATTATACTAAGCTTAGTACCCTATATATTACCGATTCTTATAGTAAGGAAACCTAATAGTAGTTTTTACTTCTATATCGATTTTTAGAAACTAAACGCTATTATAAGAAAGGACTACTACTTATTACCTTTAATTAATAAAGTCCTATAGCGTATTAGTAAGGCTAAGTTCTTTATAAAACTAGATATTTAGTAAAGTTTCTACTAAATCTATCTAATACCTAGAGTAAAGGATCTTACTACTTTCTATATAAGATATAGATCCTTTAAATATAAGGTTATACCTTTTAGTCTTATAAATAGACCTACTACCTTTTAGTAATTTATAAATAGTATTTTAAAAGAATATATAGATAATTACGCTATAGCCTTTATAAACGATATCCTAATCTTTAGTAAGACCCTAAAGAAGTATAGATAGTAAGTAAAGGAGGTACTCTCCTACCTTTAGAAAGCTAGTCTCTAAGTAACTCTATTAAAGTATAAGTTTATAGTTATAAAGACTAAATTCCTTAGATTTATTATAAGTACTAAGGGTATTATAGTAGATCTGGAAAAGATTAGTATTATTAATTTATAGAGAACCCCCTCTATAGTAAAGGGAGTATAATTATTCCTTAGATTCTATAATTTCTACTAATAATTTATCTAAAGATATAGTATAATCTTAAAGCTATTATATCGCTTAATAAAATAGGATATTCCCTTTAAATAGTTAATAGGCTATAAAAAGGCTTTTTAATAACTAAAGAAGAAGCTAATAGATACCCTAATTCTATAATACTATAACCCTACCTAATAAACTAGAGTAGAAACTAATGCCTTAGATAGTATTCTTAGAGTAGTACTTATCTAGTACTATAAATAAAACGATTTTTAGTACCTAATAGCTTTCTATTTAAAAATAATATAACTATCTAAGCTTAACTATAAAGTTTAGGATAAAGAGCTTTTAGTTATTATTCGCGCTTTATAAGAGTAAAGGCTAGAGCTTAAAGGATTAACCTAAAAGGATCGATTTAAGATCTTTATAAACTACTAGTCCTTAGAATACTTTATAATAACCTAATAAATAAACTAATAGTAGGTATAGTAGAGCGAATTCCTATTACAATTCTACTTTATAATTAAGTATTAATTAGGTAAGAAAAATACTATTACTAATACCCTATTAAGAAAGGAAACCCCTTATATAGATAATAGCTAAAACTTTATAATACTACTAAAATTATACTTAGAAAAGGGGGTAATACTAGCTTATTTAACCCCTATATAATCTAATAAAGTAGAGATTATTAAATATATCTATATATCTAATTATTAAAACTTAGAACTAGATAAACTTCACTAGTTAGCCTAATTAAGAGATAACCTAAAGTAGATAATATAGGATAGGTTACTACTTTATAAAGAGTGACTTAAGGTACTTAATAAAGGGGACCTCTATACTTAACTACTTAATAAAATATACTAGTAGCCCTTAATAGCTTACCTTAGGATTAAAAAGATAAAGAAGCTAATTATAGAAAGATATTACTAGTATAGATAAGTAACTAATATAAAGTAATATGTTAATAATTACTTAGTCTATAAGTATACGAAGGCCTAAAGGGACTATATACTTAGATTATTATAACTACTACTAATTCTAAAGAGACCCTAGTAGTACCTATTAATAGACTTCTGTTCTTTCTTAAAGGATCGTTATAGATATAACGCGGTACTTATAATTATAGACTATTTAAGTAAAAGACTAATATTAATCCTTTATAAGAAAGAAATAAAGGCTAAGTAAATAGCCTACCTATTTATCGACTATATAATCTATATTTTAGAGATTCTAAAGATAATTATATTAGACTAAGATAGATAGTTTATATTAGAGTTCTAGGCTAAATTCTATAGGATCCTTAGAATTAGAAGGAAATTATTAATAGTATACTACCCCTAAATAGATAAGTAAAGCGAGATCGCTAACTAGTATATAGCTTAATAACTACATTTATATATAGAATAAAACTAAGATAACTAGTTAAAGTTACTTATAATAGTTAATTTTATAGTATCGATTCTACTTTAAGATATAATAAAGAAATCACCCTTCTTTATAAAATAAGGGTATAAACTAGTAATAATATTCGACTAGAAGGACTAAGGAGGAGTTATACTAAGTAAAGAGGAAGTAATATAGATACTTTTTTAGCTATAAGATATCTAGTTATAAACTAAGGAGTAAATTACGAAGTTATAGTAGTTATAAATTTAATAAGTAAATAGATATTAGAGGGAAGAAGACTTTAGAGTAGGAGACTTAGTTTTTATTATAATAAAAGACTAGCTTTTAAATTAGCTAAGTAGAAAGCTATCCTACCTCGCTAGTAGACCCTATAAGATTATTAAGAAAGTAGGTAATTCCTATAAGTTAGAATTACCTAAAGTAATTTAGGTATACCCCGTTTTCTATCTAAGTAAATTACGGAAAGTAGTAATAATAGAACCCCTAGAAGGTTAATAAATAGACCTACCTCCGCTAATATAGGTTAGGGAAATAGATAAATAGGAGGTCGAGAAAATCTTAGATACTAAGATATACTACTAGAAGCTATAATATAGGGTATAATAGTTAGGATACGACCTTAATTTATAATAATATCCTATAGGTAATATAAAATATATACTAAGAAAGATATAGGAGTTCTATATATAATACTTAGATAAGCTAGGACCCCCTATATATCTCTAGGAATAGCTAAATACCGATAAAGAAGACCGAATTCTTAAAGATTATATTAATAACGATAAGCTAGTATTTAGGGACTAAATATAGTTTTAGGCAGGAGTTATATCACGATCTAAGACGCTTTAAACTGATTATAAGGGAATCTTTGACCGCGGTTGGAAGGATTCTACTGCTAAGTCCCGACTTCGGTTAGGGTTCTGAATTAGGATGGAAGAAGTAGGAAGTTTGTATGGTTTGTTATATTATTGTTTGCTAGAGCCTATAAAAGGCTTCGGAGACTCGATTCCTTCTTCTTTCTTTCCTTTCCTTCTCCGTACTCAGTATTTTAGTTGAAATGCACTCTTTTCATTGAAAGAACTGGCTGGTAACATGTGACCTGATATCCAATGGAGAGGATATGCCGCAGTCTACTTACCTGGTTGACAGGCCTTATACCTGCAGACTGTATAATCTTACACTGCGGCACCAGGTGCTGCAGCACCGTCGCAGCACCAGTTTTAGTACTGCGCTAGTATAATCTGCCAAGAAATTTCCTATTTTGGATGGATAAAATGCTGATTTATAAGCATAAAATCGTACTAGTTATAAGGATTACCTTACCTTAGTCTTAGTATATATGTTGTATATATCATATACTATATACTATTTATTACTAGATTATTATTAATTATTATTTATTTATCTATACTATTTACGTTATATAATTAGATCTTTTATATAATTATTCTTTTTATAAAGTTTGTTATAAAAGTGTAGTAGAAATATATATATTGAAGTTGTAGATTCTATTCTACTTTAACATTCCAACCTTTTCTTTTCTAAAATATATCAATAACGCGCGTCCTTTTACGCGTTTTCTTATATAAATAATAAAGAATAGTTTATATTACAAATTAAAAACCAAAAAGACACACGTTCATATAGTTAAATTTAAAGCTGTATAATATTTTACCTATGTGATACACAGTATTTTTGCATATGATGTTTGCACTGTTTACAGTGCTGCAGCACTCCCGCTGCAGCACCGCAGTACCGAACCAAGGGCCTGGTGCTGCGGGACTTGTCAAGACCTAGCTCCAAGTGCAGCTGTTTCCTTTTTATCACCAGAGGAGTGATAGTGAAGAGTAAGGTTAGTACCCATGCTAGCTAACTCAAGGGCGCTTTGAGCACCAAGGTTCTTAACACCGCCCGTGATGCGACGGCTGCGGAATGTATTGTAGGCGATCGAGGTACTCGTTGAAAGCCCAGGACGTCACGCAAGCATTGGATTATGGTACACATTGTCATTGAATCTAGCTCGGGGGTTTGCCACCATATCCTTTCGCGTTGAAGGAGATACCTCACTGCGTCGCCAATGAGGACAGGATGAGGGAATCGTCGTAGAGCGTTGGGGACCCTATCATCACGGATATGATCAAGCCATCGGCTGGGTACAACGGCCTTGAGCTTCAAATACGAGATGAGCAAGCCGAGAAAGCGTTGTTTTTGCACACCTGCCAACGGATTGGCACCGGTCTGGACCAAATAGTCCGCCAACTCCGACTTGCGACAAAGCACGGCCAACTGGAAGGCTGTAAGGTAGGGTCTGCTGTCTCTATCCGACATTCGGGGCAGTTCAACGCTGGCTCGTAACTTCTTGTTGCCCTGATCAAGCTTGGACACAAGGAGGTGAGCAATCCCAACGGCTGTCAACTCAGGTACGAACGCAAGCTCATGCAATATAGTGAGTCCGTCTGGGGATCATCGTTTTCCAGGGTCTCGTACAATTGGGAGGGAGTTAAACGACGGAAAATGGCTTCGATGATTTGAGTGTCTGTAGCGTACAACGCCCGGCGAAGACTTGACCAACGGTTGGGGCCGGTTTGTGAGATTATCAGGGAGTGTACAGCCATTTGCCCAGCGCTCCAGCTTAATACTGTCTCAACCCCATCGAGAAAGCCCTCACGAATCACACAATAAAGCACATTCACCCCAGTTTGATTGACAAAAGTGGTATCCGCTCCCCGATCCGAATAAGTTGATGAGTTCCAACAGGATCATCCCTCCTGGGGTTAGATGTAGTAGGCAGCGGTCTAGCGCAAAGTCTTGTTGGAGGGCTTAGGATGAAGGTGACTCTCCCTTCGAACCAAACACGTCAACCCGTGAGTCAGGCCTTTGTGAAAGGATGATATGATAGATTTCAATATCGTGGCGTGCAGCAGCGCGGTGGAGTGCAGAGGGACGCATGTTGGTTTCCAATGCTGAATCTGCTCCCAATTCAAGGAGCATACGAATGACACCGACATTCCTGCCATCGACAGCCCAGTCCAATGGAGTTCCAAGTTCAAATCTGGTTCCATAATATTTGGAATTCTCCATTGCCACAGCACTTCGGATGTCAAGGGGAATTCCCACAAGGAAAGGCTGCAGGCGACGCACATCCTCATCGGACATTGAAACGAGCCAATGTAATGCCGTGACACCACGATCATCGCCGATGTCTCGGTTGGATTTGCTGTTGGTAGTAAAGCTGTCATGCCGTGCAAGTTCCCAGTTCTCATCGCATAAATGAGAGCCGTCTCCCCAATTTGATTTGTTTTTATTTTGTTCGAGTCATTTTCATAAGCGTTTTCCTCGCCGTCACAGTGACAACCCCTCTCTATGTCACCGGATGGATGGGCTAGTCCCCTGGGACACCCAAATTGGTGCCTAGGGCGAGAGCGAAGGCGCAAGAAACCCTCGGGGTCACTCTCTGCGAAGAGTTTAGAAGCGACCCATGACCCGGCAGCTGCAGCCTGGATGAGTCACTCTTTCTGTATGCCGTCTTCATTACTCGGTTTAGATATGGCTGATTGATCCAATCCCGGTCCAGAAACGAGCAGAGTCGCTGCCAGAATTCCAAAAGAGAATCAGCAAGATGGCCAAGATGAAATGGGCTGTGCTTGACAAGAAACTATTTGAATCGTTCATCGATAGTCTTTCGCGCTTCAATAGGGCGCTCCACGACGTCCTCCCCGCTTCCCGGAAGAGTTTATATCTTTGCACTCTACAGTTGGAGCAACCGAGCTACAATAATCTGGTGCATTTCATCTCGGACCACTCCGAGTGGGTAGATAAGGATTATGCTGCGGCTGCTAGGTTCAAGCGATTGTACTTTCTACAGCAACGGTCATCATCCCCCATTCCTAGCGACGAGCTGCGTAAACCCTGAAGAGATCCGTTCGAAAATCTCCAACTCCAGGACCCGATCAAAGGAAAACCGCACCATAGCCCAAATCCAACAGAATACGGGTCTCCCACACACGTCCTTGTCGAATTCAAAAGCCTAACGGACCCAGAACCCGCATATCATGAACACTCTTGAATGTCGCCTGATGGATCTAATTGCCCTACTCCAGGTGTCTCCCAAACCAAGCAACTATCGTGTGTTGGGATTCTTTATGAATCCGGGGGAAGACCATCAATATGGCCTCATCTTCGCACTCCCTGAATCTACGACTCTGGTTAGTACTCCTTCTGCACCAGTCTCTCGGGCCGAGACACTAAATTCCTTCCTCCGCACCGCAGACGACAACAAAGTCCTAATAAGCTTCTCCCTTGAAGCCAGTTTCCGTCTCGCGGCGCTCCTCGCAAGCTCCCTATCTGGAATTCACTCCGCTGGATGGCTCCACCACAACATCAAATCATCCATCATCCTCTGTCGTTTCCGGACGGGAAAGTAGAAGACTCTCTTCAGCGGCTATATCTGAGTGGGTTTGGGATGATCCTCGCGAAGTATCGGAGGTTGCCAACGATAACGATATCGACCGTCTATATCAGCATCCAGATTATCAAACACCCCTGCAGCGCAACCGAAAGTATAGGAGATCTTACGACTTCTAGGGACTGGAAATTATACTAGTTGAGATTGGGCTCTGGAAGCGGATAGACTCGTTTCGGCAGCGTGGGCTGGATAAGAGGGGGTTTTCGCAACATGTCCAGCAGAGAGTGGTTCTAATGTTGGGTTACTAGATGGGGGAGCAGTATCGGGATGCAGTGGCTTGTTGTCTAGATAGGACGAGATCTAAGGTGGGCGATGATGAGGACAAGAGGCTTTCCGAGCCCTTTTTACGGAAGGTCGTGGGTGTACTGGAGGATTGCCATGCCTGATAAATCAATGCTGTTAAAATATCAACCTCAAACCATAGGAGGGTGAAGCAACCTCACTCGGGTTTAGAATACTTCTAATGAACGAACGTGACCACCGGGAAATTGAAATGTACGGAACATCTGGTCACCTTGACACCAACACTCTAGTCTTCGGCCATCGGTAACGCCATATACGCGACTATAGGCCGTTCCTGATATGTTATGAGTCTGACGCACCGAGGTAATCCTCCCACCGTCATCCATATATAACTGCCCCCGAGTTGGCGTTCGACGTGGCCGTGACGTGCCCTTATCAGGTCGCGGGTGAGAGGCTCTTCTACGATATTTTAGAGACTTATAACGACCCAGCACATTGTAACTTTCCATACTATCATTATCTCCCTTGGGGCAGCTCCTTTATGCGCAATTTAAGCCGTCGCAACACCTTACTACATCAATCGATCTATCTGCAAAGGCCGTCCCTCGTAGCGGCATTACTGAAGTACGGCGGAGACCGGGACATGTCAAACCTCAATTGGCAGACACCGCTATATCTCGCAAACATTATCAATTCCTCATTGGCCCCAGATGATCAAGCCCATAGAGGAAAATTCCTACAGCGCCTCAACCCTTCCGTGTCGCCGGTCTCTATCCAACCCGCACTAGGGAAGCGGAGACTGAAACCTAATCCCCTAGACGGTTAATTCAGTGCTTACTACAAACTCACGTCGGCCGGAATTCCAGGCAGCGGGAGTGGGCTTTAGGGCTTATCTATCAGAGCATTCAGTGAAGTTCACTGGCCGTGGAACGAATACAAAACCGACCAGCTTGGGGTCCGCTTCACCTTCTTCTACATCTCCCTACTGGGTCTGGTCTTTCTCATCATTTCCGCTCCACTTTACATCCTTTATGTATACAAATCCTGGATGACGTTCATCGATTTTCAGGACTTTACGGATATGGCAAAGTCAATGCTCATGGTCGCTGACTGCGTGATGCTGGCCGTTCATAATGGCTTTGATCCACAGTAAGCATGTCTCGCTCGGCCCAGCAGCGGGGTACGTGCCCTCACGGATCAATTCCTTTCGCATCTAGAGCAAGTGGCCAACGCGAGCAACATCACAGCTAATATCGTGAAGTCGTGTTTCAATGGTACCCTCCCCGATCGACTGCAGAATGCCACCTGTCTGGGAGACTACTCGGCACAATTTGGTATATACAACCTAATTCCCGGGCGCAGCGATGAAAGGCCGGATTGTATGGATCTTATGGCTACCTTTGAAGCAGCGGATGAGCTCTCAACCAGAAGATGCAGGAATATTTGCTAAAGGTGTGTAAGTGTCAATGCAGTTGGCCGGGGAAGCCGTATCATCATAAGTGGGACAATTATTGAGGGACTACTACGTATTCAATAGCAGTACCTTTGCTCTTAGCTGAGGGGACAAGCACCTTAGACCAAACGTGCAAGATGTCTGTCTTTTCATGAAGGCAATCTAAGAAATCTCGGACTAGTATTTTCCGAAAGGCTAGCGGTTGCTCAAGCTACCTCGGGTGGTTGTATATTGACGTCTGTGTAAAGCCAGCCTGAGTGGTCTAGAAAGCTCCAGCCTCCCATGTGTTTGGACTAAATTAAGATAGGCAAGTCGTTGCCCGGGCGCCTATATATGTTTACCAATCTGATCCTTGCGGAACTAACATATCGTTGAGTTTACGAACTAGAAATGGCAAACAAAGGTTCTCGAAATTTAGTTTGGTACTGATATCCAGAATTAAACGTATCAACTACCAAATGATCTCCCATGACCTCAGGCTGACTCTTCAAGCCTCAAGCTCCTTTCTCCGCTCAAGCTTAGCCCGATGTGCCATCTTCGAGAACATTGTAGCCACTCCAGCATGGTCGCAGTCTACATGAGGCTCCTTTTCCACCAAGATATCACCCTCCTGTCCGTCACGCTTAGCGAAGTCTAACGGCTTCGGCTTATCACAGTTATATTGCGCGTTAGCGGCACGGAGAAGGCAGATCTCATTTTTCATGCAGTCGTCAGTGCAACTCTCGACTTCGAATCCGCGAACGCGTCTCGCCCAGTAATCCTGGAAAATAGTCGGATCACGTTCCATGGCGACAGTGACGTTGTGCCAGAATGCTGGACTAATCTCGGCCTTTGGATCGGTGAGGGGAGGGGAGATTTTGGATCCGTAGTCTGCTTTGGCCGAGTAATAGGGCAGCCATTTTGGCTTTGTCTGGAAGGATGGGTCGCTAATGTTGGCAACGTACTGAGTATAATCCAGGACGCCAAAGGTGACTGGATCAATGTCGTAGACGCGGAAAGACGGTGATCCTTCCGTTGGCGTCACTGCTGGAGCGACATAACCCATTGCAGTGGCTGTGCTCCAGTCTCGGTTGTTGTAGTCAGAGTAAGCGATTTGGAATCCATCCCTGTGTGTATGGCCATAGAAGAGTCCCGCTATGGTGGCATCGTAACGCTGAACAATCTGGTCAAAGTACTGCGAATGGTCGCGGAAGTGATCTGGCACGCCGGATGGGATATGAGAGATCAACCACGCGCGTTGCCCAGCATCTTCGGCAGCCTGCAGCTCCTTGATGAGCCACTCGAATTGACCGCGCGGGTCTTGCTCCATTGGTTCCCGGTACATATAGAAGTTGTATATGTAGTAGAAGATGCTGTTGTAAGAAATGATGCGCAGATTGCTGTTAGGGTGGACAGCTGAGTACGAGGCAAATTCATCCGCAGATTTGACGGAATCAACGCCCGTGAGTCCATACCAGTCTTCTGCGAGAGCATCGTACGCCCATTGGGGATCGGCTTCATTTGAGGCATCCGCTGGAATGAGATTGAGTGGTGCAACGTCATGGTTCCCTATGGCAGCGTACACAGTGCCGATATCTTTTTCCATGGCGCTGTACGTGGAGTTGAGCCCTTTCAACACTGCAGGCTGGTCGGCTAACCAGACATCATGGGGGACCACGTCGCCAGTGTAAATGGAGAACTCTGGACTAATGTCTGCGATAGCAGCATGCAAGCTTTCCTGGAGTGTTTGTGGCGGGTCACACTTTGTGTTTCCAAATGGCCCACATGGGTGTTCCGTCTTCCCTGGTGCATCTTCATCTGAATAAGATCGGCAACAGATAGGCTTGGTGCACTCGTAGTTGGATCCAGGCTCGTAGAGGAGGTCCACATGTGTATCGCTGAAATGGACAACTTTGAGGGGTTTCTTACCACTAGGTGGTGGTCTCACAGTCTTTGGCTTGGGCGACGGAAATGTAAGACTGTAGGGATGAACGTCAGGATACTTGCAGAGCCCGACCAAACTAGCGCAGAGTGTCTTGGAGGAGTCCGAGTTAAGGTGTAAGGCTTTGAAAGCATCGTGTAGCGCAGGTCCTTCTTTATCGATAATCCCGGTACAGACATCTGGATCCTCGACCTGTATACTGTGATCAATGGGATTAACGCCACTGAGCTCGTGGGAAATGGCGAACGTACCCCACTGATCTTGCACAATCCGGTGAATACATCGATCATGAATTTCTCACCAACTCCTGCAGTAACTTTGATGGTACCGAGGAGAACCTGTAGAATTGCGTAGAGTGAGTTCGAAGTCTCATAAGCAAAGTGAAGAGCATAATCATACCTGACAAGCACCGCAGTCTACTGCATTCTTCAGGTCATCCCAGATAGCAGCGATGGACTTCTCGACTTGAGTCTCGGCTTGTACCCCCCGGAGTGATGCTGAAAGCCCACACACCAGCAGTAAGGTATTAAGTCTCATTGTGAGAATTGGACAAATAAGTCAACCGATCTGAGAAAGACTACCTTGAAACCAGTCAGGACAACTCCGTACCTTCCCAGCGTTGATGTAAAATCTTGGGTAGTGGACATCTTAAATATAATGGGCCAAGAGAACCGGGTCAGACCATTCCCGTATTTTGCCAAATAATAGATCCTACAGCTCGCTTAGAGGAATTGAACTATAGAGTAAACACCTGCAGCTTACCCAGTGAAGATCTTTCCAACATAACCTTGGGACAACCTTTTACCATGTGATAAACCTTTGGAATAGTATTCAGTATTCCCCTCAAAGGTGCCTACATTGTAATCAGTACATGGATTTATTATGCCCAAAGCATATACGAGCGGGGAGAAAGCTACAATGAAATGCATAGCAGCAGGGATTAACAATCGCTCAAGAGGGGTTCTCGCAACTACATACTGAAATAAGAAATGCAGCCAAGGAGCTAGTATATAGTTCCTTGTAACGTTGCAAAGCCGCTGATCTCAGGGGCTAATAATACGCCGTAGAGGTCCACTGAGCATGTTCGCATATACCCGGGAACTTGAGATCTTAAGATAGGAAGATAGGAACCATGATGGTCAAAAACTGTAGTAGTCTATAGGTAACCTTCTAAGGTTAGAATCAGATATCTAAACTGTAGCTATGCATAACACCATCAAGCTCTTCCAGTAAAGATCATAATCGGATGCGCCGGTCCATCTTACATGCCAAGCTTAGTGCCTGCAGGATTCACGGTGAATAACTTTGTGTCTCTGACGTACGGTCATAAGGAGACCGATTGGTCCCGAACGGAGAATTGGATATTAATCTGGAGTACGGAGTACTCCGTAGAAGATCAATATCCATACTGATGTTTGCTTAGATGTGCGGAGGGAGCTGCAGCTTTGGCCTAATGCATCACACTAAAGGATTGGCGGACAGATCGCTGTCGATCGCAAAATATCCCTCTGTTCTCACACGAAAGTTCTCCCAAATCCCTCAGCGCAGGCTTAGATACCTGAGGCCCAAGACAGTGTATTCCGATGAGAATTTAGGACTCTCGAAGCTATAAAGGTTGTCCATGGATCATCGATGAATTGCCTATATAGGGGCGGAGCAGTACAACCCCTGATGGAGCTCCCACAAATGATAAAAATATCTCTGCAGATATCACGTCCCAAAACTCTGAATTATCTGTCATAGGCTGATGTCAGGATGTTCATTGGGAAAGCCCATAAAGTGGATCTTATGTAGGTGCACATATCATATGGACAGTAACATTTATGTGTATTTTTGTCGTACAATAATCTTGTAGACCTTTTCAAGGCTGTACAGAAATACTCAAGTAGATAAAAAGGAAAAGGAAACAGAAAGGCGGAAGGGTGAAAAACCGGGGTAAAAACGGTTCTATTTTTTTTTTCCTCCCCACATTCCCCAACTTATTTTTCTTTCCTCTTTCATCTCTCCAAATATCAAACCCTTTCTTTTCCCCTCTCCCAGGTTCGGACTCCGTCGGGAGAACGAGACGATGAAGCCTCCGCACACCCATTTTAGCCCGCCGACCGCGATTTTACACTAGGATCGGAAGTCAAATCGTCTCCACTATTGTGCGCTACAACACTGGAATTGGACTGCTGGTCACATTGACCATGAAGGGTCGTCAACCACCCACGCTAGGTGTTTCCATCACCCTTTTCTCCATTGCCACTATCTTCGTCGCCCTTCGCTTCATTTCGCGAATATTTGTGGTCAGGAAGATTGGGTTACACGACTGGTTGATGTTGGTCGCATGGGTAGGATCTTTCATCTGAATCCCTGCTTGTACTCGGGGATGTAGCGAGAACGGACTCGATCTATTCGCGAACCGGGCACATGATTGAAACCTCGTGTTCGAGCTCGGAGGCTAATCAGTCTACAGCTTGTTGATTTTGGATTTTCCTTCTCGCTTTTCTTTGCTGTTCAGAAAGGTCTCGGCCTTCGTTCGAGTGACATCAGACCTGAAGATGAACTCGCTTTTAATAAGGCTAATTATGCGTTCACGGTCCTCTATGTTAGTTATAATGGCGCTTTGTTACTCCCCTTTTGTTACTCCGCAGAACAATAATATAAAAAAACAATGGCATGCTGACAACCATTTAGAATCCGGCGTTAATGGCCGTCAAGACTTCGATCCTTATCTTCTACTTGACCTTGACACGCAATCAGAAGGTTTTCCGATGTGCAAACTATGTCACTCTCTTTGTGGTGAACGCAGCGGGCTTTGCATTGACACTCGTTAATATTTTCCAATGCCGGCCTGTCAGCGCAGTATTCCTTTCCGACGTCCCGGCCCATGCCAATTGCACCGACATTGTCACCTTGTACCTTTCCTCATCCCCGGTGAATATCATTACGGACATTGTTATCCTATTGCTTCCGATGCCACTCTTGACAAAAATGCGCCTACCTTTCAAACAAAAGATTATTTTGGTGGTCACTTTTTCCTTTGGTTTCTTTGTGGCCGTGGTCGATGTGGTTCGAATTGCCTTTCTTCAACAGGCTGCTATTTCTCGTTCGCTGGAAGTCAAATCAATCCATATTCAAAACATCGGAGGGGTGGATTTCAGTTGTACGACTCACTCATCTTCCACATTTGAACGTCATGTGTCAATTGAGCTAACAGTGCGCGTTTCACAGGGTATGCGTCGCTATCTTTCATGTGGTCTGTTGTCGAAGTCAACTTATCGATCATTTGCGGTTGTGTTCCAAGTCTCAAACCACTCGTCACTCGTCTCGTTCCGAAATTGATTAGAGACACAAATGATGATACGTCAACTTCTTCACCTCATGGTCTCTCCACAGGCGCAGCAGGGGGAAGTCAAGTTGCAGTGCCGCCTCCAGCTGCAGTCCCGGGTTCGCCAGAATCTCCATCACCATTGCCATCTGTCAGCCAAGGGGACAAGGGTCTACAGAACCAAGTTGGTAGCGTCCCTGGTGGCCGATCAAGCTCCCGGGATTCGGAGCCTATTGGTATATTGGATTTCCTGGGTCACCCGGAAACAGCGCCCCTAGATACAGAAGGAGGGACCCAAACACATACTAGCGCATCTTATGCACCGGACATCACCTTCTTTGATTTTGTGAACATGAAGAATCCGGAAAGCATGTTAAAGCTAAATAATAGAGAGTCGATTGCGCCAATTGCACTGACCACGCTACTCTTCTTCCTCTGGGGTTTCGCATACGGCTTACTTGATATTCTGAATTCTCAATTCCAGACTATCGTCCATTTAGGTCCGTGGCATTCATTGGGTCTCCATGGCGCATACTTTGGCGGGTACCTGATTGGCCCTCTGCTTGTTGGCCGGCCCGTCTTGAAAATATGGGGCTTCAAGTCCACGTTCATAACGGGACTTTGCATCTATGCATGTGGGACCCTCATATTTTGGCCTTCTGCTGTTCTAACCTCGACGGCTGCGTTTATCTTGTCAAATTTCATTGTCGGGTTTGGTCTAGCAGTTTTGGAGACTGCGGCAAATCCGTTCATTGCGCTATGCGGACCGCTCGAGAATTCCGAGATCAGGCTCAATATTTCACAGGGTGTGCAAGCTGTTGGAAGCGTCGTATCACCGCTCCTGGCTAAACGGGTTCTCTTCAAGGATGTCCATGATGTCGCATCTTTGGTTGATGTACAATGGGCATATCTTGGCATTGCTCTATTCGATGTGCTGTTGGCCGTGGCGTTCTATTATCTACCAATTCCCGAAGCGTCAGATGAAGATCTGGAAGAACTTGCAAACCGACGCCGGGAAGACAATATGACAAAAGTAATCGGTATTCCAGTCGTGTGGCTGACTCTCGGCCTGGGAATCTGGTCGCAATTCTTCTACGTGGCTGGACAAGAAGTCCTCGCAACGGCTCTCCATCGTTTCGTTATTGCCGCTCGTCCAGATTCATCACTCAGGCCATTTGATTTCCTGACAATCGGACATAGCATTTTTGCCGTGGGTCGCTTTTTAGCTGCATTTGCACAGTGGTTCCTCAAACCACGCTGGATTCTGATGGGCAGCTACATCGGCATGATCGTCTGTTCCGTTCTTTGCATGAAAACAAGCGGTTCAGCAGCAATAGTCATGGCAATGCTGCTCTACCTATTTGAGAGCGGTGCATTCAGTATTATATTCGCCATCTCCCTACGCGGTACAGCCCAGCATACAAAAACCGCCGCTGTCCTCATGACGATGGCAATCAGCGGTGGCACCTTTTTCCCGTTTGCCGAATACGCGGCATACCTTGCACATGGCGAATCATATTCCTTCTGTGTTATAATCGCGCTCTTCTGCGCCGGTGCCATCTTCCCCATCTACCTCAACCTTGTACCTGCGGTGAAAAAGCAAGTCGACCCTGTTCCGAATGAGTATCTCCGGCGACATCGCCGCCGAACCCGGACCCCGGCTGACACCATACATCGCGAAAAGGATAATCCTTCTATGGGCGGTGTGCTTTCACGTCCACGCAGTTTGGTCTCCAATCCTGACCATCTACCGGATCTTCTGCTCCCGGAGGAGATTCACCAACACTCGCTGGCTCGAGATCTTTCGGCGGATCAATCCACATCCAGCTCTAGCTCACGTGTCAAGCCGAGTTCATCCCGCAATTCAGGTTCGAATCGAAGATTCTCCGCCAGAACCAACGATTCCTAACCACTGCATCACTCATTGCCGTCTTTCCCTCTTTCCTTTCACCTCTACACCTCACCTTAGATACCCTTTCGCCTTTTCTTTTCACGATTTGTCACAACATTTGTCACGTTTCTTCCCCGTGCATATTTTGGGTGACATTTGTTTCATTTTATTTTCTTTTGCAGCATTTCAGCGAAGGTGTTTTGACCAAAAGCTTTTCGGTGTCTCTCTTGGCTTAATTTTTGGGTTCCACTACTTAATTATACTCGACCAATTTCATCAATGTTGTCTCCTGGCGGACCATGCTTCTAGTAACTTTGACCTGATCGATCTTCT